TTTCAAGGACTTAGATCAAACTTTCTCCGATCTTGATTTTTTTATGCTTCTTTATCGTTATCGAATAATAAATTTTATATAACGCTTTCGAAAACACCAAGTAAATTGCTTCAGCAAGATGATCGGAAAGTTGAAGTCAGTTTAATTTTTTCTACATGAAACAGATATGAAGAACAGTTAAACGTCCTTTCTGGAAACTGTATTGGCAAGGTGGAATAAAACTTATTTTATGCGGATAGATTTTTCAAACATAATTGGACTTTAATTGGAAACTTCTGAATCTTTCGTTTTTTGAATCTTTCGTTTTTTGAATCTTTCGTTTTTGGAGCGGTGTCAACCGACGAATCTTCTGGTTTTATTGAACTTCGCCAACTTGCATTTTTTTGTAGAACAGTTCTCCTTAAAAACAGAAAAATGTTTGTGTTGTTTTTGAATAAAGCATGAGCTAACTCATCCTGCCCTTTGGGCTGGCCGACGTCGACAGACTCTAGTATGTAAATTATCCTAAACTGTGATATGTCGTATTGGCCTATCAATACATCACTCTTGACTTCAGCGACAAATACATTTTGTGAAAAGACAGTAGAAAAGACAGATCGAAACTATGCGTTAAACAAATTGTAATATTATCCTATTGTATCAGCACTGGTTTTATTCCATCGCTTAAAAGTGGGTTTTGTGATCCTGAGCTTAAAGATTTAAATTGTTTGAAAACGGCTTGGTGCTTTGGTTTTGCTCGGTTAGCTTTTTAAATTTGTTGATCAATTTTAAACTTGACATTATCAGTTTTTCCACTTTTGCTATCTTCAATGCTAGGCACAATTTTGGACGTCTTAGCTGCTGTTGTTTCACCGTTTTGACTTTTTTTGCTTAAGTAAGATGTTTCTCTGGAGACCCATGGAGGTAGACTGCTTCGATAGACTGTATCAAGGGGATACCTCTCAAGTGAGAGTTCATCCAGATGTGCCCATTCCCCGAGCATGTTGTTGAGTTTAGACCAGCGTTTTGCAAAGTGGAACACATTCTGTGTTCAATTAATGTTTTCAGAACCAGCCACTGCATATCTAAATTTTCTCCGTACATTTTTTTGCAGTTCTCATCGAACTGTTCGAGCTAAGTTTTCTTGGATAATGATCAGAGTAAGGATACAGTTTTCCAATAAAATTTTCCCATTTAGAAGATGCGATTGCTTCTGACTTGGAGGTAAGTTAAATATCTCAAGTAGAAGATCGGGTTGTATGGAAATCGTTAACTTGTTCGACATTGAGAAGTTTTTTGACTCTTAACTATCAATTGAGCTCAAAGTTGACCGGGCTCTTTCGTCTAGATTTGCATCACCAATCAACAAAACACTGATTGGGAGAAGCAATACTCCAACTACAGACAACATGCTTAGTCGTTTCTTCAAGCTCTATCGATAGGCGTTTGGTTTGCTTTGATTATAAAAGGCCAACAACCGAATGAATTTTTTTTTACAGTCGGCTGAGGTATTTATTAACAACTCCTGAAAGAACACAGTATATACAGTATAAGCTGAGAATTCGGCGTCGAGAAAGGATGGGGCGAACCAGGTTTATTAAGTTTCGTGCATTGAAAAGTTTTTTTTCTTCGATCTTCAGTTGATTTTTCAAGGTTTCTCAGGAAATTTTCGCTAAGACATTTTTCTTGAGACTTATCAGAAGTTTCAGCGATTGGATTTTTAGACGTGATGTGTGAACATCTATTTCAATCAATTTTTTGTCTTTCAGTCTTGCGTTTTCATCTATTTTTCGTCTTTTGTCGAGCTTCTTGATATGAAAACTTGTTTTCGTAAGATTTGGGCAGCGAACCTGTTGAAACTTTTTGAACATCCAGAGCGTTTTGTAGCGTGGCTAGAACAGTTCGAGGTCTCGCTTTTCCTAGCTGAAGTTTACCTAGCCGTTCAATATCAGTTATTGTTGTGTTTTACGACAGATGTCAAAAAATTGCGGACACAATTGAATGATCAGGCTGCAGCAACTGTTTCAAGTAGTTTTCAACAGTTTTCGCTGCTGCGTCAAGCCTTATTTTAACTAGATGATGTGATTTTTCTAGGAAAGAATGGCCATTATAACTCTTACTAGCAGCACATACTTTGCCTTGCCCGAGATTTGTTGAGAGCAGTTAACTTTTTTAAATACGAACAACTGCACTATTGAGTTTTGTCCTTTTTTCATCAATTTTTTGGCCCCATGTCGCTGATCTACGAAGTCTTCAATTGGTTTTGTCTTGATGAGAACTGAACTTGTGAATGCTTCTTTCGCGGCTCAGAGGCCGTTAGTTGATCCTGTTTTTTTTTAAGTGTGCTTTGTAAATCTGCTTTCCACAACCTGTTCTAATATCTATTTAGCTCATCTTTGCTCGGCAACAACAAATTTTTTATCGTTGGATAATCGTCTTTCGAGGACTTGGTCGTCGCGTTTGAAGAATCAAATTTTCTAGGATGTAAGGGAGGGAAAAGATTTTAATTAAATATACCAAGTTTCCTTTCACCACTGGAACTTAACCGAGGTCGCAAGAAAACTTGACAATCCTTAAAGGGAGCAAAATAGTTTAAGGGACAAACTTTTGATCGGCTGTGATGTACAACAAATTTCCAAGTTGATTTTTGTACTTTGACGAAAAAATTTTTTCTTTGACGGTTTATATCCGGAATAAAAAGTCGCGTAGGGCTATGCACATATAACCGGATCTCTGAAGTCCCATCGTAGACAAGGGCTATCATGTTCTGGCTAAATCTAGTTTGTGAAAGATTGCTCCTATTTGAAAGGTTTATCACAACAATTAGGCTAATTTTTTGTAAGTACTTGACTAGTGTTTTCCAAGCAGCAGTAGAAGCGTGGTTGATGGTACTCAACTTCGATTGTGTTGCTGAGCTGATTCTGTTTGCCTCTGTCCAATAGTCAAACCTTGTCCATCAATTGTTCTTCTCTAATAGAACCCTTGTCCATCAATTGGTTATCGTTAGACCTTTTTCCAGTGATGAGCGAATTTAGATTAAGAGTAGGCTATGTAGTTTATGAATTGTTGTGGAGCCCAGAACACATTAATTATTCTCAGTACACTTTGTTGGAAAAACCAAAGAGAATAAATTGTTATTCGAAAGCGCACAAACCAAATAGAACATAAGTGTAATAGTTTGCTCAAAAATAATTCGAAAAATAGTTTTGTTTTGCGATAAAAAATGAATCAAATTGTGGAAACCGCGCAAGGTCTGAAGGTGCGCGTAAGTGCTATCTAAAAAACATAAGGTCAAATTAAAAAATTAGGTTGAAAAAAGGAAAATTGAAAAATCTCACTTTCTAATAGGTTGCACTACAAATTGCAGTGACGCAAAACCAGTGAAAAATTCTGTCGAGGAATCGGCGTCAAAAAATGGACTTGTCCTAAATTGTATTGACGAAATTGCGTTCATACAATTTGTTCACATCCGCCATGCAAAGAAAGTAAGATATTTGTATGTATTTTGTACTTTTCGGATGCCATAAAAATAGGCTCGATAGAATTGGTGGATAATTGGTGTAAGAGCTAGTTTGATTCTTCGTAAGAGAGAAAAGATTTGGTCGAGTTTTCAAGGTACAGGGGAAGCATATGATTGGTAGCATAGAAGATTTGTTATATTTTTGGCGATTCCTTGCAATTGATGGCTATAATAAACCCCTTGTAAGTCACCAAGGTTATGAATATGAAAGCTCTGCAACTACGCTTATTGCTTGTTAACTTGTCGTAATACTAGCTGGTTAGATAAGAAATATCATCTCACTGAAACAATTCTCGAATGAAAAAAATTTGCAAAGATAGTAAAACTATAATTACTTTTTTTTTTCGTTTTGATCAGCAAAGGATTAATCTATGACGTCATTTTATAGCATTGATTTCAGATTTGATATGCCATCTTCGGATCAACGCTGGGATCACGTTAGTTTTTATGCAATGCGGATGACCAGCTGATTGATGAGAAGCGAAATCATATCTTGTTTATAGGTGGAGCCTCTCAGAAAAGACGTCTGCGAGCGAGTGAGTATATTGGGAGAAGAAGCATGGATCTCTTACGATTTATAGAAATCGTTTGATCCAGCCATCGCCTAGTAATAGGAGGGAACAGTTGCGGTTGATGGATTTTTAAAATGAGATAATCGATCCTAAGGAAGATCGTATCGTAGGGGATAGAGTGAAGCATACAGTAAAATCTTTCAAGTGTTAATTTGAAAAGATGTTTCCTACAAGACTGTTCATATCAGGACGAAGCCACGATTGATTGTCACCACTGCCCTTTAACATATATGAAGTAGTTTGGATTTAAATATTTACCTTCTGTTTAGATAAAATCGTAAACGAAGTTGTTTCAATTGTTTTCAAATCTTCGCTCCACTCGCTCTCTAAAATAGATAGTGATATGCTTAGCATCTAGAAACATATCAAACATGTCTTCCCTTAATTCATTTCAGATTGATCCCTGAGCAGGATTAGTTTGCCGCTTACGCATTTATAGAACGATGAGCATTTTTCAAACTTCTAGCTTACGAAAAATGTAGATGAATTTCGAAGGCGAAAGAAATTCCGCCAAAAACTGAATTAAAAAAAAACTAGCACAATGTAGGACAAAGAAATCAAAAATTTAGATTTTAAATTTTTTAATCAAATCTTGGTATTGGAAATTTAATGCGCGTTCTGATGAAAGTCGCTAAGACTGGGTTTCAATTTTTGCCTATGTTGTCCTTGAGTTTTTTCTGCTTGTGTATGAGAAGTTCAACTTGAACATGTAGTATTTATTGTAAGGATAGGTCTGAATATTCTGTGCCACTTGCCTTGCACAGCAAATGTGAGTCATTGCCTATTAGACTAGTCGGATCTTGTTAACTATCCCCCCTCCCTATTGCAAGGGGGATAGTAACAAGGTACAAAATTCGTATATGCTGTACTGTTCAATTCTTTCTTTATAGGGGATTCGGTATAAGGTACCAGGGGGGGGGGGGGGGCGATGGTAAACAAGATCCCGCTAGTCTGTTGAGGCATTCCCCCCATTACACTAGAACTTGTCTCTAAACAATGTCTCGATTTACATTAATAATTGTTCTGCATGCAATTTAGACGGAGAAGTTAATCAGCCAAGTTATTCCTCTCTCTCTGGCAAACATAAAAGAACTAATGAAGGTTTGAGATTAATATATGTCTATATGTCTTTCCTCGACCCTTTTTCGTGTCATCGAACAATTACTTTCATACATGAACGCCTTTTTGGTTTCATCTCGCTTAAACCCTTTTTGTCAATTACCAATCATTTACGATGTTTCACATAACACTATTTGTCGCATCACAATTTTAATCAGATTAATTGACTCTTTTCAAGGAATTACGAAATAGTAAGTTCATCATCCAAAATGCACGGGCAGAACGAGAAAAAGGAAAATTGATAACTTCCCTCTTCGTGGATGTTGCCTTTTTTGTATAAACTTAATTTTTTGCCATATTTTCAAGCTCTGCTTTGTATTCATGTCTTACTTCACAATTCCCTTCTTTTTCCTTAATTTGTAATTTCAAAAGGAGCGATGAAAAATTAAATTCATTTTAAGTTCAATGGTTGTGTTGTCCATCGCTATCTCCATCTGATTGCAAATTGTATTTTTTATAATCCATTTTACGCGGTTTTGGTAGGCAATTCCAAGTTTAGATGCGTTTTGTCAGCTATGGCTATTGTTTGTATTAATGGCCTTTTTGGGGTCACGTAATGTCACTTGACTAGTTTGATCCAATTCCAATCAGAGAATCGGTCATGAAGGAACGCTGAGTAAGATACTGGGAGATTACTTGTTTGCAAAAATATCTCAAATCGTTCGATTGTATGGCAAAAAAGCCACCCATTGTGTTGAAAAGGAATTAGCCAGGATAAGCAATCTCAGTTGCTTTGGACGTTCTCCGGCGTTTTCATGTGTGTTTAGACGGATTTATGGGCGGTGTGCGATTATGAAGCAATAAGCGGAGCCAGTGAAGCTCAGCTGACAGATGCGCTGGACAAACACAACACCACCACCACAGGGGTACACGACTTAGCCTTGATGTTGATTCATTGGCCAGAAAACATGCTTGTTCCTAATCAGAGCACAGCAAACATTGAGAATGTTATCACACTTGCGATAAAGTCTGAGAGTTTTTTTCTTTTTTTTTCTGCAGTGATTCGGTAAGTTTATGATTCGGCTTCAAAGCAGTTTACATGGCAGGTTATCTTAACGTGGTAATGATTCGATTGTTTGAGTGTTTTATTTTCAGAGCGAGCACTCAGGAGTCAAGGATAATGGACAGGTGGCCCAGTCTTGGCCGAAGATACCCTCCAATGAGCATATTAAAAAGTAAGGAGAGAATACCGAACTTCTTGCAGCTTCGTAACTTGAACCCTTTTCAGCTTTAAAGTTGATTGAGCAACATTCAAATCGAAAACTAAAAGCCTATTGTAAACTGGAAGTTTTAGAGAACGTTTTGTGTTTTCAAGCTTTTCTATGCATTCAGTTTGCTTGTTTTGAGCAATGGAAAGCTTAGCCAGTTTTCATAATCAAGAGTTTCTTTTAAAGTCAGGTTCCCTTAGTCTAATCTAATCCAATGTGTCTTAGCTTGTCCAGTTGGCTGTCTTCGGCTCTCAAGATGCGTTCGGTTGGTCTGCTGTCCATATGACATGATTTAAATGGTTTCGGCCAAGTAATCGTCGCAGATTGTAGTCTGTTGATTGAAGAAGCTGGTCGGTCGTTGTAGTTGTTCATTGTCTATTTTCGATGGTTTCTGTTGCGCAGTTGATATTTGGAGTTGAGCTAGTCGTCAACGTTATCCAAGTAGTTTCAGGTTGAAGCAGTCGGGTTAAACACTCATTTATATGTCGAAAAGATGAGAGCGTAATAAAATTTATTACCAGATTAAGGAGAGTATGTTCCCCTGTAAATTAAAACAGTTGTTGACTATCGGATAACTGTTGTTAAGCGTTTCAAGCATTACGTATTACAAATGGAGTTCTGAACGAAGGGCTATGTTCAAACTGTTTCCTGTTGCTGTGTTGTCGTTTGGGTCATTATTTACTGGCACGGTTTGCTGAACGTAAACTTCTGGACACACAGGCTCATTCTGGACGAGGTTCATTGTGGAATTGAGGAGTTCCACAGCGGGTTGTTGTGTTGCATACTACATGGCCGCCTGATTATATCGGGGATTCGTTGCTAACTACTGGCCATAAGCCACGAGGGGTTGGATTTTCCAAAATGCAAGCTGTTTTCGAGGTCCATTTTTGTCGTCGAAGCAGAGTTGGAATGATCTGTTGCAGAAAGAGTGTCCAAATATGGAATGCTATTTGCTGGGCGGTATCAGTGCTGTTGGTTGAAGATCGAGGGTTTGAAGCCATGTTAACTCGAAACTTGGGATTTCCTGTGCAGTCAAGCTTTTGTATTCCTTTAATTTCCTTGTTTTGTTACACGAGCTGTTGAGAGTTAAGTTAGTCTGAGCCAGGTACTAACTGTAAATCTCGAGTGATGACAAATTTGTGTTGTTTCTAGTCGTTGCATGTTTATTAGCGGGCAACTAGAAGAAATTGTCGACTGCAGTACATATATGTTGTCCGCTAAGAAACCTGCAACAACTAGAAACAACACAAATTTGTCATCACTCGAGATTTATAGTTAGTACCTGGCTCAAACTAACTTAACTCTCAACAGCTCGTGTAACAAAACAAGGAAATTAAAGGAATACAAAAGCTTGACGGCACAAGAAATCCCAAGTTTCGAGTTAACATGGCTTCAAACCCTCGATCTTCAACCAACAGCACTGATACCGCCCAGCAAATAGCATTCCATATTTGGACACTCTTTCTGCAACAGATCATTCCAACTCTGCTTCGACGACAAAAATGGACCTCGAAAACAGCTTGCATTTTGGAAAATCCAACCCCTCGTGGCTTATGGCCAGTAGTTAGCAACGAATCCCCGATATAATCAGGCGGCCATGTAGTATGCAACACAACAATCGAACCCGTTGTGGAACTCCTCAATTCCACAATGAACCTCGCAGTGGAAAAAATGTTCAACTCGCTGCTAACGTCTCGTTACTGTTACTTTGAATGTCGGAGTGCGTGTTGGCGAGGCTTCCGGTAAATTTCGTCGATTGTACTGCTTGAAAACGATACCATTTGCAGTTGTTTAACTAAAATAATCATTTAAAGTTCAAATAACATTTTGTTAAAAGTAGGTTGAAAGTGAATATTTTTTCTTAAATGCACATTCATCCCATTTGTTGCAGAGTGATTGCTTCGCTGAAGCCAGTGGTGAGAGACTTCAAAGACCATTGCTCCCTCCTCAAGGCCTGGATCCGACTGCTCAGTCCCAAGATAGAGGACGGAAACAACTCGGGAGTGTCAGTCCAGCAAAGTGTGCTCGCTATTGTGATCAAATGCGAGAGCCGAGTGGAGTCGTTCGAAAATGATATGACCGACTATTTTGCGAGAAGAGCCAAATTGGTGTCTAAAGTCACAAAGTATCCTCATATTGTAAGCACTGCCTCATCAAGTAGAAACTGTTAAATAACCGGATTTTTTTATCATTCAAGAAGAGCTTTTGTTGAGGCTTAATGAGTTCCAACTGTGATTATTAGAAACTCTAGGCTTGAAGTAACGCTAGTTTAACCGCCAACAATAAAGAAAAGGGAATTTCTGTTCTTTTGTTTTTTTGCTGTATTCTGTTGATTAATTTGTGTTTTAGAGTGACTATGTAGAAGCAGTGAAAGAAACAGACGAGACCAGTTTCGCCAGGTTGACTAGATACATAACGACTGAGATCCTCCATGCCCAAGTAATGTCTAACCCTACTATCCTTTTCCAAATGAGTTAGCTCGAACAGGTGTGCTGCAGTTTTGTTTACCCTTGCAATTAGCAAGGGTATTGTTATCGTGCATTACGATTTTTTTTACCGTAAAGAGCTCTGCTAACAGAATCAAAAAAATATGGTCTGGTCTGGTGGGTTAATCGTCGGTAGTGCAGTGAATGCTTTTTTCAGTTGTGCAAGTGTGTGTTCGTTCAATAAGATTTTTTGATGTGCCAAATATGTTTAGCAGATTTTCGTCTATCCGAGTGTCGGTTTTTTAAAATATTCAATACGCACCTCACAGACTCTTTTTGACAAAACCTGGTGGATTTTTTTGTGGTGTTAAAACAGTTTTCTTCCAACGTTCTTATAATTTTCGTAGCGAAAGAAAACATCGACTGAGTTGAAATATCTATAGGTCTTGGGCTAGTTTTTTGGGATAGTTTACCGCAAGCTAATTTAAGTTCCTAAAGAGAAATACTTAAATTTATTGCGGTAATTACAAGTTAGATCATGGCTATCCAGTTTATGCAATTTTTGTTCTAGAGCTTTGTATAATTTTTGAAAGATTTTCGACTCGGGTTGAATGGGGTTTTCTTCAGTTTACGTACTTTAGTTCAGCTGATGTGTTATCACATATAGTGTAAACAACGTTCGTTATCTATTGGGTAGATAAGGTTGATGTTTAAATAATTAATCATCGTCTTTTTTACACAAGCATAGCTTGTGTTATTGTATGAACTACCTTTTTTCCAACCTAAGTCGCAAATTTTGTTGCGATGCAATTGTTAGGACAAAATGTGTTAATTTGAAAGTGTTCATTTTGATCAATAACCAGCAACTAAGTACAGCCAATGCTAAAAATATTAACACCGATTATTATTGTTCCGACTTTATTAGCGAAAGTAACGGAATATTTGTGCTCGGGGTGGTTTTTATTCTTCAGACAAATTTCGACTTTTCAACTAGTCATTTTTGACGGAATTTTTTTTATAGCAATCAAAAGGTACTGTTGTTCTGAGATCAATTTTGAAAAGATATTTCATCTGTGATTACTTTTCTTAAAGTTATGGGGCTTAAAAATTGCCATGTTGGCCAATTTGGAACAATTAACGCGCGATATATTTAGCGTTATTAACGCGTAAGCGAAGAGTTAATCCGTCTTAGAAATCGTTCCAAATTGGTTGAAGGAAGCTTATCTGCCATAATTGATCTGTTACTATGAGACAAATTTATCAGTTTGTGCTTTATATGGCGTGTGGGGGGATGATTTGCACAAAAATCTCAAATTAAAAAAAAATCATTTTATTTTAATTAACATTTATTTTTTTCATGTTATTACTGCTCTATAGACCTTGAAAGGCTGTCAGAACATACAGGGCTTCGCCCTGGTACGAGCAGTTTTATATTACAAATAGCACTTAAGCTTAAAGGTATCATGGATCTGTAACGCAGAGGTAGGATGGAGACCCGCAACAAAATAAGAGGGTCGAACCTGGGCAGGGTCGGATGTTTCTAATGAACTTTTTCGTATACTAGCCAAAATGCGTCCGCTATATTAATTGAGGCATATGCAATTTCTAATTTTCTTTCTTTTTGAAATTGACTGGCACTGTTGATGCATAGTAATTGCCTTGCCTCCCTTAAGAAATTCGTAGACCCAAAGTTTTACTCATTCAGTTTTTCCAGTATCGGTCATGTTTTTGCTTTTGTATGCGAAGTGCAACTTCGCCTTTGTGTTAATTTTATCAATGTTATCGGTTGTTACTACAGTTTCGTCATCTATTTTTGAACTTTTCTCAAAGGTCAAATATGAATCTTTTTAGGGGCGTTTTTTTTACTTCTGAAGCTAATGTTTCAATATTAAGCTTCTTTTTAGTTTTCAATATCTTTAGAAATTGTTCTGCATTTTTTCAAGAATTGGAAAGGCAAGGACACTTTCTCACTGTCTTAAAACTTTGCGATACCAGCAATACCAGTAATAACTGATAAGTTACTTAAATAGGTCTTTGGACAAAAACAAATTAGTTAGTTTGTTATTTAAGAAAATTTATCTCACAAGACTCACTTAAAATTAATTTCTTCAAAAATGAAAAAGAAATCTTATCTTCAAAAGTTACTGATAAATATTTGCGGATGTGACAAACTGTTAGAGAACACTTAAGAATCATTCAAGCCAGTGTTGTCCATGTAAAAAATTGTAACTATAATTAAAAATTAATTAAATGCAATTTTTTTTACATGTAGAACAAAACAGATATTTTTAAGAAATTGATTTCAATCAGCAAAATGAAACAACTGCGCTATTGTGAAACACTAGTAGTAAAAACATTAAGGAGTGGATGGAAAATCAGCTTCTGTTTCTCCAGTATCAAGCCAGCAACAGGGTAGTGTTACCTCGTTGAAGTACCACGGTGAGCTGCTAAGTTAAGACGCAGCTAACCGAGGATTGCGGAGCAAGCATCGTTTAAAGAGGCGACCGGCAACAAGTTTTTGATAGCGATCGGGCACCAGCCACCGAGAGCTTCGAGTAAAGGGGATGCATGAATTCGTCAAAACCACCACTGACAAAATACAAAAGCGTAAAAATGTCATAAAAAAAGTTTTCCGGGAATGACAGGTTGTTCCAAAGAAACATTGACAGTGACATACGAGGCCACTGGCGCAGTGTGCTTTGGTATGGAGCACGGATCTGGTCTCCATAAATGAGTAGTGCGAACTAGAACAACATCCGAATTAAACAAATTATTGCCCTCAGAACAATGTCTGGCTGTGTCAAGATGACAAATATTGATAACCTTCACTGGGAAACAAATTTCTTGACTGTAAAGACTCACACTGATATGCTGGCAAAAACAGTTCTAGTCGGATGCCACCAGAGTCATCGTTCCGACTATCAGACAAAGCAACATCCAGTTGAACGACTCATCAAACCCACATTCCGCACCACCTACGGTGTTGAAATCCAACATCTGGATAAGTTGTAAAAGCTATTACAAAGCTCTGAAGGTTATCCATCACAACAAAGTTCAAAACTGCCTCAAACATTGAAAGGTAATGGAGTGTGTACCGCCTGAAATAAATGATAGTGAATCTAAATTACCGCGGATAGCGCGCATACGGCTTGCTCAGCTTCGCTCCGGGTACATTCCGCTCACTAATTCATACCTGAGCCGTTTGGAAAGTGAGGTACACCATTCCTCTCCAGACTCTAATGAAAAGCCGCACGACGTCCATCATTTATTTCACTGCACCCGAAACCCGACTGGCCAGACTACTGAAGACCTCTGGCTTCATCGCCTCGAAGTTACTGCGTTCCTCAGACTTCATATCCCGAGGGAGCTGGAGAGCTGATTTCCCTTTTAGAATCAAATCTCAGTCAAATAACGACGAAGATGCTGACTTCTAAACAGCACACATCGACAACAACGAAGAGCTGACTTCGAATTATGGATCAGCAATACCTAAACGAATCCAGTGGTATTCATGTGACCATTTATGTGGCATATCCCAACTATTCTGCCGGGAGAAAAGGGAACTGGGCAGGGACTAGCGAAACTCAATCAACCTTCATCTCCCACGGAGATGAAGTACGGGAAAGCAATGGCAACCAAGAACCAAATCAAAACGAAACTAGCCTCACAAAATCCCGCAGATGATGGCGTTGGGCGTAGCTACTACAAGAACAACTAAGTGGGATGAAAGAAATGTCGGCTTCTTCACAGGGGTCTTTTTGGATATCTTCCGGTCGTCGGAGATCTCAAGGATGTAAGCAGTTGAAGTTCCAGCTAGAGAGAGGGTAATTGGTTTAACAAAACTTGCAAATTCAAAAAATTGCAAATTCGGAAATTTCACTGCAGAATCGGAAATTGCATATCATCTGTTCTTTGCTTTATTTGTGGGTAATGTTTGGCACCTATTAAGCGTATGTGGTTAGTGTATGAGTGTCCTAATCTTTAGGTTGCTTGTGTGAATCCCATATGCAGCCAAACTTTTACTAACTCGAGACTTATTGCACTTTATAGAGTTGCTTTTGTCGTGTTCTCGCTAGCGTTTGCGAAGCGAAGCTACGCCTCACTGTCAAAAAATGAACTATTGTTGTTCGGAGTACTATTGTGTAACTGGTATGACAAAATAGCTGGGTGTTGCTTGATTTTATGTTAAATTCAAAAATGATGGTTTAGTAGCAAAATTTCGAACAGTTTGTCTTTCACTCATGCATTGTTCCAGCTTTCAATTTTCTTAACCGAAATATACTTGATTGAAGTAATCGGTCGGGAGCGTTCAACAGTGCCGAAGAACCAGTGTTGAAACTGCAAATGTGTTCAACAGTCGCAAGAATTGATCATATTTGGGGATTTTGATTTTTTTCGGCAGTTTGCGTGAATACTGTTTTGTTTTGGAGCCAATCTGAGAAGAAAATTTGACAATTTGCTGATTTGATAGCTTGTTCAGAAAAAATCATGACCCCGCGCTTGGGGAACTCTTGTTTATTTGACAAGTGGCATAAATTAAAAGGAAGTTTTTTTCTTTTTAACTTCCATCCTTTTGAATATAATTACTTTAAAGTGATTTGGGATGAGAAAAAACAGTATTCTAATGAATTTTTGGCTCTGTTGAACAAGATTACTTTTTTGGGCACTGTTTTACTGTCCTGTACTGCCCCAATCGATCACTTCATCTGATTGCAGGCAAGAATGCTCGACTGCGTAGTGAAAAACTACGCAAAGATTGTTCGTCCCAGAAGTGTGGAGGACAACCACAGTCGCATGTACTAGACTGACTAAATAAGATGAAACAATTTTCTGACAACTCTGGAATGTCACATACAGCCCTGTACAGTACCAGAAACCAAGACAGTAACAACTAGTTAGAATGGAGTAGAAAACCAACCAAGTTTCTCCAACCAAGAAAGTACTCCTTGAAAAGTGGCAGTCTTGTACAGAGTCAGTTAATATGATCGACCGTGTATATATGTGAGACACTAGTAAGGTCGGAAGCAAATGAGCGTAAATGCAGGACTTTTTTGTTGGATTTTGAAGTCTTAGATAATATTCGTTCTTACTTTTCAGACTGCTATGACTATGAATTGTACAATGACTTCTTAAAGTCAAGCTTTGCTGCAAACCTTTTTATCCAAGCCGCTTTGACATTTTTTTCCAAATCAGCAAGTGAAGAAGAGCATGGTTGATGCGCATATGTTCCTGTCATTGCCGTCTATTTCCCCAAATCACCTGTTCCTGTGCACACAAGTTTTTCAGTTCAAACTAGAGTTCTTGAAAATAGTTTCAGTCCGAGCTATTTAATTGAATTTAACTCAAGAAGTCGCGCTAAGTTGCTTCGAAAAAATACAGTTTGTTTTTGAGATGACCGCTACCTCCAAAGACGTGCAATGTAGCATTTGCTATGAAATGATATCGGGAGAAAAAGTGGAAGACCTTCTGCAGTGTCCATTCTGCTCCCGTGCATTTCACTATGCCTGCATTGAAGAACAGCTAGTTTGTGATGCGTGCGACGAAAGGGTTCTCTGGCCTCGAACTGGATCGGAGGAGTATCTGGACCTCCTCGAATGTCTCCACCCCATGTTCGCAAGTGGCCAATCCTTATTCGTGAACTTGGACGGTGCTAATCTGACAGCGGCTTATTTCGAGAACCAAGGATTCGAAGTGCCGATTAAGGTAAAAGACAAAGTTGGCCTTGAGCTTCAGGTGCCGCCTTCTGATTTCACAATCGATGATGTCATCAGGTATTGTGGTCCTGAACTGAAAGTTGACGTCATCAATGTGAAGGAGCAGAGAGACCAACAGATGACCCTGGAACAGTTCGGAGACTACTTCAAACACAAGGACGACACAGACGACATTTTCAACCTGATTAGTCTTGAGATATCGGATACGCAGTTGGTGCACATAGTGAAACCTCCGAGGATGGTGAAGGAGCTGTCGTGGGTCTCTACCGCCTCTCACGACGAGATCAAAGAACAGCTCTACTACAACATAGATCTGTCGCAGACTGAGTTCTACCCCTTCGGACAGCCACAGGTGCTCAGGTACTGTCTCATATCAGCCAGGAACTCCTTCACAGACTTTCACATTGACTTCGGCGGCACTTCTGTCTGGTATCATCTGCTCTGGGGCAAGAAGGTGTTCTACATGGTGGAGCCGACAGAGAAGAATCTGGACGCGTATGAGAAATGGATGCGATTGCCTCACAGAGACAGGCTAGTTTTCACTCCTGCCAATGTTCAAACTCACTTTTTCATTTAGGCTACTTGTTGTTTTAATGAAAATCCAACAAGCAACATTTTGTTCTCTTACATCAAAGATGTAGAAAAGCGTAAATCTACCTTGAAATATTTTTGTATTCTTAAGCGTGACTTTTTGCGATTGTTTTAGAAAATAATATGTTAATTAAGCTTTGTTGTTCCGACCATTGAAAATGGGGAGGAACTTTGGATTCGGGTGTGTTTTAGTTTTTTTCCACGCAAAATCAGCTACCGCAAATAATCATCGGACAGGGTTGAGTGATATATCATATTAAAGCCCTTTCAGTCGTAATTCGAACGACTGTAAAAAATTTCAAAAAAAGTTTTCACTGTGTCGACAAAAACCGGTTCGAAATTTTTGATTTTTGGTCTAATTTCGAGCTAATAAGGTGACCGTATATGCTTACAACAGCTTATTTAAGCTTAATTTCAGCCGAACATTTTTTTCGAAATTTTTTAATTTTTTTTTTCGTTTTTATAGTAATTTCTTTCAAAAACGGTTTTCCAATTGAACTTTTTTTACTATGGCTCTCAAATATGCCTAAATTTTGTTTTTTTTTGTTCAGATTTTTTTAAATCACAACATGCAGAAAAAAACGACACCAAGTTGAGAAAACATTTTTGTATTTTTTTAAGACTGTGGTCGGAACATTCTGTGCTACTTGCTCAGTAACCGGCTATCCTTGTTTTACAAATGAAAACTAACCAGACAATTTGAGTGTTGAACTTGTAAGATGGCGTGTGATTTAGTGAAATATGTTTGATAGCTTGATTTGTTTTGTTTAGAACGCACAGTTGTTTCATCGAATGTGTGGAGAGAGTGTACAAGTGTGAGTTCAGTGAGGGCGAGACCATCTTCATCCCGGCTGGGTGGATACATGCAGTGTACACTCCCCAAGACAGCCTCGTGTTCGGGGGAAACTTCCTACACGACTACGGAGTGCCGACGAGTCTGAAGATATACGAACTGGAGAAGAGACTGAACATTGCAGATAGATTCACCTTCCCAGACTACGAACTGGTCAACTTCCACGCCGCTAAAAACTTCTGTGAGCTGGTGGAGAGTTTGAGAAGTGTCGGAAGAGTGCCGAGTGAGTACCATCTGAAATCCATGCGCCAATTAATTCCCAGGCTCAAAATGTGGCACGAGACAAATACAAAATTGAGACAGGATCTCAAAGTTTCCGAGGAGCCTATCAATTTCAAAAGACTCATCAAAAACCTGCAGAAAATCACGAAAAAGTCCAATTCAGCCAAAGACTTACTTGCAATGAAGGTCAACTTTTCGCTTCGCGAGGAAGACCACACGGATGAAGACGTGAACTTCTATTGTCGGCCAAAAAAACAAAGGAAAGCGCCGCCTACTGTGGAAGTGAAAAAAGAAGCAGGGTCATCAGAAGAAGAAGTTGCGTCTAAACTGGTCGTGTCCTCATCCTCAGATACTGAAAAGTTTGACGATTCCACGGTAAGTTCAGTCACTTTTAAGTACTGTTAACCGTTGTTGGTTCTTCTTTTTTACACTAGCCAGCTTGTGAGCGTTAGTGCATGAGTACGAACCTTCTTGTTTTTTCTAACTTAATTCGCAAATAAAAGTGTTCATTAAAATTTTTCACTTATTTGGCGCTAGAAAAAAAACAAGAACTTTTACTATAATCACGCTCTGTAGCCTTGGAAATTTCTTAACATCAATTTTCTGCTTTATTTGTGGCTAGTGTTTCTGATTTATTAAGCGTCCGTTAGTGCGTGTGACGCGAAATCTCTAGGTCGCAGATCGAGTTTGAGACGTATTTTTTTTTTTACTGATTCGAGGTATTCTACTTTTTCTTACTACACTTCATAGAGCTGCTTTTTGGTCCTGTTACCGCTAGTGTTTGCGAAGCGAAGCTTCGCCTCTGTGTTGAATCTTAATATAAAGCAAGTGAGAGTTTCGTGTTTATAGCGGAAGGTGGAGTGAATTCACTATCTTTTCACATTTCTATTTTTCTCTTTCTAATTCAATCACTTTGATTACACTTACGATAAGCAAGGGTTGTACAATCGGGTACTAGACTTTTCGGTAAACAATTTTAGACTCATCTTTCACAAGACTCACCTGGACGTCTGAGTTCATCTCTACCTTGTTTCATGTTGTATTCCAGTTTTTTGTAGCGTTTTTGGTCAACTTAGCCTGGAGGTAACAAAATTGCCTGGGACGGCAAAGGTCCTGGGTTGGAATTTGACCAGTCTGTTTTTTTTCAAACAGGAATAATTGTTTCAAATAAATTGTCGGCTAATTATTTGTCTGCTCATCTATTGTCGGCTTACTTGTCACATCTTGGAATAGTTTTTTTTTTGCTGCGTGAATTTTTTTTAAGGTTGCTTATAGTGTTTGATTTACGCCTACCTATTGTAATTTTACTTACCTTGACTTCGTTTTTCCTTCTTTGTTTTTTTTTTGTTTCGCTAAAATAAAATTCCTCGGACCAAATTATTTCGGCCTATTTTTGATTAATTTTATTGACCTAGTTTTGGTTCGTTTCAAGGGAAACAAAATGTGAACACTCCCCTCCGCATTTTTCAAAATTGTTGCCTGTTTACCAATCGGTTTGTTGAAATTTCGTTTTTTCGTTTTAAAGTTAGTTTTTCTGAGAAACTTCTACTGCTTTTCAAAAAAAAGGTTGTCAATTGAAAGACTTCCTGCTCCCCCTCTCATATTTGAGTTTTTGTTTTATGGAAAAGTACTGTTTTGAAAAACTCCCCTGGAGAAGTGCGACGCCGAATTTTTGTGAATCTTTTCGACTTTTCTTGAAAACTAACCTCTCAAACCTGATATTGTGGACTCAATGGAGATAGCGGGTAGTGAGAAGTTTGCTGCATTAGCGCACATTCACAAAACTTTTTACACAAGAAATTATCGCATTGGAAAAGTCAAACTTTTGGTTTTTTGACCGTTTTTTTAAACTTTTGGAATATTCTAGAAAACAACCCTGTCATATCTGAGATTTCATTTCAAGAAGTTCAATTCTCAGAACAAATTGTGGGAAACTCGTCATTATTTTATGCGAGTACGCCCAAATTTTTTTAACACCAAAATTTCCGGCCCTCAGAACTTTTTGACTTTAATTTTCCAAAAAATTGGCCTTACAAATCGGTCATTTTGAGGTCAATTGAAATTAAAGGTGGCTTGAATCTCTTCTGCATAAGGGGCTATGCATAATTTTTCACACAGAAAGCTAGGTTTCTGGAGAATGTCAATTTTTTTTTGCTGACCGTTTGTTGGTTTTTTCTCACTAACTATCCTAACAAATCTGCTAATATAGTTTGAATTGAATGAACAGGTTGTTTAAAGCCTACTTTTATAATTGACAATGTTCAGTTTACTTAAGAAAACAGTTGTGGCCTTCAAACAATACAAAGATTTGAATCTTCGACAGTTTTTTGGAAAAACTGTACGCAAAAACTTCCGTGCCAACTCTCAGGTTTTGTTCAGTTCAGAAACCCGATTGTGGGAATCTTCTATGTTTAATCAACCTGCTTTTTGGATTTTGGAAATCTTTTTTGACCGTTTTTTAGAAACTTTTTGAATTTACTTAAAGTTTACAATCAAATTTGAGATGAAAAGTTCAATTCCGGTTGCAATGATTGATCCTGCAAAAGCGGCGACTCCTTAATTTTTAATAAGATAAATGCTATCTCATTTGGAAAATTGATTATCTCAAATTTTTTTAATATTCTCTCTTAATTTAAAGAGATTTATTTTTATTGAAATCACACTTCGTGCCGCATCAGTATAGAAAGTTCATTCAGTATCAAACACGTACCTCCAGCTTTAGCCGGGCCCCTAGTTGTTTTTTATCGAGACATACGACATTTTTGGTTCACCTAGTTTTTACATCGATTTTTTTTTCGACAGTTTTTTTGTGTTGTTTCGTCTCCATGTTTACACTTGACTCAATTGAACATAATTTCAAGTTGTTTTTCTCATTTCGTTCAGTTTTGATTGTATTTTTGCGGTTTATCGTAGACTTTATGAGTGCTAAATCGAAATTGTGAATCGTCATGCAAATTTACTAATTTGCGATGTGGTGTATTACAATGTTGATTTTTAAGTTCTGAAACTGAAGTTTGTAAAAATGTGTTTGAGTTTAATATCGCCGAAGGGGCTGATTGAATCAGAGAGGAGAGTAATGAATGAGTAATTGAAGTCTGAATTTCAGGATGAAGAAACATCAATGCAGAGAATAGACCTGAAGTTGAAGGCCAAGCTAATACATACTCTACCAGTGCAGAAGACGACCCCCACCAAAAAGAAAGACGCTTCAGCGGACAAAGACAAGCAGCCGAAGTGTATTGGCGGCAGGAAGCGAAAGATGAAAGAGGAGAGCAGCGACTGCAAGTCATCGGAAACTCCCGAGAGTGGTCTTGGAAGTCAGGTGAAGAGTGAAGCCAGTGCTAGCTCGAGTCAAGACGAAGAAACGTATTTTTCAGACTCGAAAAACAACAATTTGCCCTCAAAAGCAAGCAGCAAAAATTGTTTAAAGAAGGCCAAGAAAGGATGCGCCACACCCAAGCAAAGACTGGGAAAACTTCTCAACATAAAAATGCGATGATGAGTGCAGTAGTTGTTAAATTATGCAGTCATCATGCTAGTTCAGTTAAAATGTGATTGGTTATTTATGTACTGCATTTAAATGCAGATGCGCTATTCCTATTGGTCGAGAGTTAGATTGGCCTGGCTTCGAGAAGATGTTAAGGCTTTAATGGAAAACCGAGTTGCCCTAATTGTGGAGTTATTTAATATTCAGATTCTTTCAACATGTGTCAAGTATTTTTGGTCAAAGATAATTTACCCCGAATGGAAATACAGGGCGATTAAAATCAGTCTTGCAAATTCAACAAATTGGTCAATTTCAATTCCCATAACTTTACCAAAAATCATTTACGGTTGAGATATTTTTTGATTTTGAGCTCAAGAAGTCAAAATCTTTAATATGCAATTAAAATAGTTTTCGCCAAAAAGTTATTTCGATCTTCAAATTAGTGTTAAAGAACCACGCCACCTTACAAATGTCGTAACTTGTTTTAAAGTCGGAAGAATTAAATTCCTTCATTACAATTTCGCCAATGTTTCAATGTGATACTGGTTAAGTGTAATCTATGATATTGAGTCAAACTAGCGACCTTATTTGAAGCAATATGGAGTAATTTTAGCGCAGCCGAAAGTTTTTCTATCATTATTGATTGTAGATTAATCATAAATATAGATATTGTCTCGAGTTTTATTAATTCCCTACATTATTGTCAGATGTTGTAGTTTCGTTTGTTTCAAAATTTGTACGAATTCTACTTGTTAAAAAGAAGTTCAATCCATATTTACAGTTTTCAAAATAGGAAGGAATGATTTGGATAGATGGAGGATATATAGAAAGTATCAGTATAGAGACGTTATTGTTCCGACTTTCGGTACGAAAGTAACGGAATATTTGTGCTCGGGGTGGGTTTTTTTTTCTTCAGACAAATTTCGACTTTTTAACTAGCCATTTTTGACGGAATTTTTTTGTATCATTCAAAAGATATTGTTGTCCTGAGCTTGAATTTAAAAAGCTATTTCACCTGTGATCATTTTTCGTAGAGTTATGAGGGTTTAAAGATTGCCATTTTTGCCAATTTGGGACAATTAACGCGCGATATAATTCGCGCTATTAACGCGTAAGCGGAGATTTAATCCGTCTTATAAATCGTTCCAAATTGGTTGAACGAAGCTTATTTGCCATAATTGATTTGTTACAAGGAACGAAATCTCTCTTTTTGTACTTGATATGGCGTGTGGGGGGATGATTTTCATCAAAAATTTCAAATTTTAGAAGAAAAAAATTTCATTTTATTTTATTTCATTTAATTTTTTTATGCTATTACTGCTGCTCCATAAACCTTAAAAGGCAGTCGGAACATTCAGGGCTTCGCCCTGATACGAGCAGTCTTGTTAGTTATATATGGACTTATTAATTACGTCGTGTGGTATTTTTTTAAGGAAAAGTCCAATTTGTTCTTTCTCAAATGTGATCTTTTATTCGTTTCGACTTTCGATCTTTTTTCAAGTTCAATTAAACTTCAATTGCCAAAAGGAAAACAAATTATGCTCTCTAGTTACGGAGTTGGAAATGGCGCACAGAAACGTAAATTACTCTAATTTCGACAATCAACCATCAAAAAGTTCAATCAAAAATGATTTTTGAAATTTCAAGGGCTTAAAATTCATTAGTTTTCGAAGTTGAAAAATTTTCAAGGGCAAAAGCAATAATTTTATTTTTTTTTTCAAAAAAGAGTTAAAAAAAATACTTTTCCACGATACATTTGTATATGTAAAATTGAATTCGGTACACAAATTCAGTATTCACGCTTGTGATAGCAAGCGTTGTTAAGTTGGAACACATTTTTATGGGTTATGAAGTTGCTGACCAGAATGACTGAATCATTTGTGCTGATTTTCTCAATTTCTGGAAAACTTAGGGGTAGGGCTTAAACGCGTTGAAACTCGAAGTTTTTACGCCCCTTGTACGCATAAAAGTTAATTGTAACCAGGAAGGTTTTTTGACAAATTGATTTTTGTTCTATCTGACTGCGTTTTGGTCGCTTACGTCTCTGAGCAAGGATTTTTCATCTGATTTAGGTCTTTTGTTTAAAGAAAAATTTTCTGGAAAGTTTTTATGATTTGTTCCTGTAATTTTTAATTTCGCCAGCTCTGATGCTGTATACTTTTCTGATTAATTTTTTTGTCACTTAAAAGGTTTGTCCGGCGGAAATGGTTTCGGCAGTTATTATATCAGCTATTCGCCATATTTTGCCGTTTGACGGGGTACAGTAGATTTTAATGGGCACAAGGAGCGTTATAGCTCGGAATTTTTAAGGCAACAGTTTTATTTGAGGTTAGCCTCTACCTAAGTCTTGTCGGCATATTTGCAATTTATTAAATGGGAGGAGGGTTTTTACCAAATCGAACTTCCTTCATAAGAGGCAAGCGTATTGAATTTTTTTAGATGTAGTTTTCTTTTGACATCTTCAAAATAGTTTTGTGATTTAGTTGCATTTAATTTCTGTCGGCTAGTTTGTTATAGCAAGTGGTGCAAAGCTCCGTTTTACCATTATGCTTATAAGTACCCTTGCGATAAGCAAGAAAATTGCTATCGGGTACTAGATTTTTTCCTGAACTCCTTCATCTTCTGGCATGCTCAATTTCTTGAAAATTCAAATAAACTAGAATTTAAGTAGTAATTAGGAAAAATCCGTTTCAGGTTGCAATTATTTTTTCAAAAAAGATTTCTATAGGAAGTCTTTTGTTCCGTTTTAAACAGTTTTTTCTACTAAGAATGAAAGTTCAGTCATTTGTACATTCGCATGGGCAAATATATTCGCATGCGATTGTGTTTCAAATTGGATGGGACGTACAAATGTTAAAAATTTTCTAAAATTTTTTATGACAACAGCTTTATTTTCGGTTCAAACAGGTTTCGACCCAAAATTTGATGCCGCTCATTTATGGATTTTAATTCCATTTTAAGGTTGTTTATAAACTTCTTTCTAAGTATTTATGAGGTTTTTGCAACTTTATAATTTTTTTTCAAGTTATTTTTAAATTTTGCTTTGCCTGTATGTGGCTGTACGTTTATTCACGTTCTCATTATATAATTTTTCAAGTAAAAAAATGGTAATTTGCCTTGTTTGTTTCGAATTCGGTAAACTCGCATGGTGCTGCCAATTTTTTGGGGTTCTTTCTTCTCTGATTTTGGAGTAGTTTTGAAGTAGAAGTAGATTCTCCGAAGTAGTTTTTTTCTGTATTTTGTCCAAGTTTTGGACTGTTTTTTGTAGCTGCACAGAGGAAAACCCCAACTCCGAAAGAATGGTCTTTTTTCATCGGTTGAGCACAAGAAATTGCTACTGCTTTTTCTCGTGCATGTGAAATATCGATATACATAATTTTTTAGCTTGAAATAGGATTTCGTTCATAACAAGGTAAATTTATAATTCCTTGTGTTTTTGCTCTCTAGGACCCATGTTAACATTTTTTTGTCTATATGATATCTCCCGTTATTCAAACACAGAATAATTTAGATGTTTGTTCCGACTTTCGAAGAAAGTGAGAAATACATATGCTTAGGTAGTTTCTTTATTCAGACCTCTTTTTAGCTGACTTGGGGAATTGATCCATGGACCTACGTGCTCCCTGCCGTGAGCGCACTACACTATATTTTTGTGAACTTCTGTGCAAGCTGAATCGAGTCCATCTAAAATGCCCATTTTATACTTTGATAATGAAAGTGTTACACGAATTATTATTTACGCGTGGCGAATTATCCCGCACTGCAGAATTGTTCCAAATTGAATTGAGGCAAGCTGACTGGTTTCATTAATTTCATGTGCGGCTCAAAATTTTAACATTTAAAATTTGATATTATCAGTCTAAAACAAATTATAGGGTAATAGGAGCTTTCAGGGTTTGGCCGCAATACGAGCTGTCTCGTTACTCTTTGAACATCTGATTTCAAGGACCTTTTTTTTTTACTGGAGAACATTTGCCAAGACGTTCAACAATGTTTTCATCGAACGTTGTCAAAATATCTCAACTACCCTCTATCAAAGTTTCAATACTGACGTAGAATTTCTTAACAGTTTTTCGTGGTCTGAAACTACCAGTTAACCAAAGAACCTTGTCACACAAAACAATTCAAGTATATTGATAAAAACGTTGAACACAGCATACAAATGAGATCATTTGTTCTGAAAAATGAGATCGTTCTAATTCGTGGGCGTTTTTTTGTTTTCCACGCAAAATCAGTTACCACAAAAAATCATCGGACTGGGTTGAGTGATTTATCATATTAGAACCCCTTTCAGTCGTGATTTCAGAAAAAAGGCGCCAGTGTCGAGAAAAATTGTTTTGAAGTTTTTGAGTTGTAGTCAAATTTCGGGGGAGTAACGCAATCGAGTTAAGTTCTTTATAAATGAAAAATAAGCTATTTAGGCTGGAAAAAAAAGATTTTACTGAAAGGAAAACTAGATTTGAATTTTGAATTACTTTACCAGCTACATATACAACGCCAAAAGCAATATATTATGTCTGGAGGGAGATCCGTAAGAGCAGTACTGCTCATCGAGTAGGATATCTTGAAGAGTAAAGAGAAGACAGCCAGCATTAACTCAACAAACAAATTAATTTAAGGGCTGAATTTAAAAAATAGTTTATAGAGGTCCTGATTGTCTTATAGGTAATTTTGAAAAAACTGTTTATAGAATCTCAAACAGCTAGCTTGCGACAATTCATGTGTTTTAACAGGTATCAAGTCATTTTGGCTTAAATAGTTAAAAGCCTGCGCAGTTCTAACTGTAAGCGATCTCTGTTTAGCGGTAGTAGATAATTTTGTCACTTTAATTACGCCTTTCGCTTTGCGCCTGGTACATCGTCCAATTTTTTAGGAGTAAATCTGAGACAGAAAACCCTTAATTTTGTCCGATCGCAATTCCATAAACAAGTATTTAAACGTCTCAAAATAGTATAAATCAAAAACAGTAAGCAGTTTGTTTTCGTCCATAATTTCCTTGAATGATTCATATCTACGCTTGAAAAAAATTGCTCTCAAGATTTTTTTGTAATTTCAATATCTCGGTAAAGTAAGATTGTGATGTAGTGCCGTATATTAAAATTCCATAAGTGATTCTAGGAATTACATATGCTTTGTAAAAGCGAAGCATCTGCTGTTTAGAAAAAACATACCTAGCTTTCCAGACAATGCCACAAAATTTAGTTATTTTTAGCACACATGTTCAACATTTAATTTGAAAGTAAGATTTTTATCAACAAAAATGCCTAAATATTTACACAAATTTGTAGTTTGAACTGAAATACCAAAAGCAAAATAATCTTTTGAAAAGTTACTACCAAATTTCATCATTTGAGTTTTACCAGGATTGACACAAAGACCATTCATTTTGAACCATCTATCCTTTTTATTTAACGAGCTATCAAGGCTATCGCAATAATTTTTTTCTGCCTTGCATTTTGTAGTATAATCAGCAAATTGAACTACCTCAGATCCTTCAGAAATTTTCGGAAGATCATTTTTATATATATTAAAAACAAAAACGGATCTAAAACTGGCCCTTGCGGTACTCCACTTGACATAGAGCGCTGGAAGATATATTTTTTTCAGTTTGAACAAATTGAAACCGGTTTGTAAAATAACTTTTCAGAAGACAATGAATTTGACCTCTATAGCCGTTTTTTGCGACATTTGTCGCTAACTTGCGACATTTCATGTATTTTAACAGGTATCAAGTCATTTTGGCTTAAATAGTTAAAAGCCTGC